AAAACATTGGACAATTAACAAAAATATGAACCAAATTATATCACAACTTAATTATTATCCTGGGCATTTAAAATTACCACTATTTTCAATGATTCCAATAACCCATTGGGTTGTTGATGAGCTGCATATTTTATTGCGAATTTATGATCGACTTTGGGGATTAGCATTACAAGAATGCAAACAAAATGGAAACTTTAATAATGAGATGAGAGCAAATATATGTAAAGAAATGCTTGATATTGGAATAAAATTTCATTTCTGGCAAGAATCTACATCAAAAGCTTGGAATCATACAACATTAAATGGAAATGATAGATTATGCATTTTAAAACAATTTAATTTGATAGTTATGCTACCTTATATATGTGCAATACAATTGCGCAAATTGTGAACAGAATTTTATCAACTTTATATGGCACTTAAAAATCCTACAACAGATCCAGACATATTTGCAAATATGGCAAAAGCATGGTTAGATTTATTTTTAATATCATCAAGTAATCAAAGCCAAGGTTTTTATAAACCAGCTGATGTAACTTCATATATACATGTTTTAATATTTTATGTTCCAGAGTTTATGTGAATTCACAAAAACTTTGGATTAAAAGCTTTTTCCTGCAGTGGTGTAGAAAAAAAAAATCATAAACAAGTTTGTTATTTTTTTTCTAAAACGATGAAAGATGGTGGTAAAACACAAACACAAAATTCAGCAATTCAAGAAATTTTATTATGTGAAAATAGATTTTTATATTTTCAAAAGCAAAAAATTACTACTATTTCACACCAACATAAAAGACTTTATTATGAAATAGATAATTAATTATAATAAGCATTATATGTAATCGCATTTACAATCAAATATACATAATCAAGAATTCTATTGCTATATTTAAGAATAATGCTCTTGATTTATATGAAATCTAATTCTCAATTGTCCATCCAATGTTTGATGTCCTTTAATATCTTTAATCTTTTCTTGAAACCATTCTACAGTCATTTCTGGAGGTATTACTTTAATAGTTTTAATATTCGAAACATCTTCATCAATTTTATTTTCTTGCAAATACAATTGTACATAACTTTTTTGATTATCTTGATAATATCAGGTCCCCCATTGTTCATCTCCAAGTAAATTTCTTAATGTATATTCTGCATTGTAATCTTTAAAAATACAGCAGTAAGTATGTTTGGCTAATGAAAATCGACTCAAATAATTTCCAAACACTGCAACAAATTCACTATCTGTACATAGAAACTTGATAAGTTGCTTGCCTGTCTTCGTATAATGTAGAGAAAGTTTCTTATGTATTTCATTTACTAGTAGCCACTTAAACTGTTCAATATGCTGCAGGGGTAAAGAAATTAGATCAGCAGGAGGTTGATTGTAAGATCGATGAGCTGAATTTTCATGCCATATAAGACTGTGAAATGTTTTATAAGTTTTGTTGCAAATAGTGCACAAATATTAGTTTTGAGCTAAAGCAGGTTGCCGTTTTGCTAAAGTAGTTGCCGTGTCAACCATTCTTGTCTTGAAAGATTGAAGGATTGTTTCGGTAAGTCAAGTTTTTTTTTTATTAGTTAAATTTTACATAATAAAAGTACTTTATTTATTATTTATAACATTATACATATCTTACAATAGCCAAAACTCATTAGTTTACAGTGCGTCTCATTAGTTTGACATAATAAAATAGTCTTTTTAATAATATTATTGTCAGCGAACAAATTTTTTTTGGGTCAGTCATTGTTTGCCGATTATGACTAATTTTAAAAAATAGGGTGTTTTTTCGATTACACAATCAAAATAAAGTTTAAAAAAGGCCCAAAAAATGAAATCAGCTGATATGATTAAAGTCACGTTACTCCCGGACTCTTTCATGTGCTGAGTCTACAGAGGTCAGTAGTTAAATACATTAGTTCAATCATCAATCCTAATCATAATGTTAACTCTAACAAATCATGCAAATTGGCACTTTTTCTAAAGAATTTATGATTGACAATTGCTCCAGTCAGTGCTGGCAAAGTTTTGTCACGTATAACTTATTGACTAATTATAGGTTATATTCTTATGGTCTGTTGTTGTGACTTATAAATTTATTAACAAAGTAATGAAGTTTTTATTATACTTTAAAAGACGGATTCTAATTGAGTTGTCAAATTTTTATTGAAATTGAAGTAATCAGAATTAAATTAATAGTATTATTTAGAAAAAAAAGACTTGTAAATCTTAAAATAATAAGTAAATAAAATAAAACATAAAATTAATTAATTAAAAGACAGAATAATAATACCAAGTGCATGACAACCTTTTAAAAACATATACATCAAGCTTAAATAAAACTTAGAAACATTATTACAGAAAAAAAAAATAAAATAAAAGTTTATAACAAAAACAAAGAAAACATATTAAAATTAACAGAGTTTACAAGTTTCTTTATATTTACAATAGAGAAAAATTTTAAATATATAAAACAATTACAAATATCTCATTAAACAACAAAAATAATATTAACAAAAACAATCTCTTTATGATTGTTATAACAAAATAGAAAAAAAATCTTAATGTCTTTTAATAAACAAAATAAAAAAAACATTTCAATATCTTCTAATAAACAAAGTTATAGAAGTAAAAAAACTAGTTTATCTCTAATAAAAATTATATAATTATATTTATGATAAATAATAACAATAATATAACAAAAAAATAAGTTTAAATAATACACAAACCAATATCAAAAAATAATATATAATCATTATGTAACTATTAATATAACAACAATTTATATTATTCTAAGCAATATATAAAACCAAATATCTATTTTCAATATAAAAATTAAGCATTTAATATAATATAATCTATAACAATTTGATACTAATTATTAAATTGAGACTTAATAAATAAAAATCTAAATATAAAAATAAAATTTATTAACATAATACAAAGTATTGAAAAACTAAAAAAGAATATACCTTTCTCATACTACATATAACTAAATCTTATTTAAATATATTACTGTAACAAAACACAAGTTTCATCTTTTCAGATCTATACCAAATAGTACAATGTTTAATTTAGATTTATATAATATTTATAATATTTAGAATATTCAATTCTAGTATCACATCTTTAATTATTTACAATAAATTACCAATTCTGACTTTTTTGATATTATAATCTAAATTAAATTCTAATAATTACAAAACAACTTATAGTCTTCTATTAATATTTTATATTATCCTAAACTAAATATTAATGGCCTAATAGACACTTATTAAACTTCAAAATTATTTAATTTTCTATTTATTTTAACTTAATAATTTTAGTAAATCCTAATTTAATATAATCTTATACAATTAGTAATAGAGGTCAGTTACTAAAATGAATTTTATCTTAGTATTTTAAATACTTAATCTTCAAAAAACAACTTAGATAATTAAATATTATATATTTTAAATAACTTTGTATTATTAATAACAATATCTTATTAGATTAAAAACACATTTTATCTTGACTGCTATAATTACTTAAGTATAGAAAACTCTTTTTGGTTTTTCTATTTAGAGGACACAATTTTAGCATATTCTTATTACTAAAATATATTATTATACTATCAATCATCTGATTACAACTCTTATATCTACTATATTATTAATATATCTAAAAACTTATAAAATCTAAACTTTGATTATTTTTATATCATAATGATAAAATTATTATTAGAAAAATATAAAATACTTTCTATTATCTAATTATTACTTTATTATTTACTGAACTTCTAATATAAATTTAAATTATTCAAAATTCTATTTTTTACCTTCTGTGAAATACAAATAATATATAAGATGTTATCTTAATTCTCACAGAATTAACAAAACTTGTATTATTAAAATTTTTACAATTATCTCAATATAATTTCTTACTAAAACTAATTCTAAATATCAATCCAACTTTAAACTATTATTTAGATCTTCTTTACTCTACAACTATTAAATACCTAACTTATACTTTTTCTTAATCTACTATTCTTATTACCAATTTAATTATTTCTAAAATTTTTATTTCAAATAAAGTTATTAATAAACTTATATTTATCTTTTATCATAATTATTCTTATTAACAACTATTTTTTTATACTAATAACTTAGTAATTAATATTGATACTGATTAATACATAATAGATATTGGTTGAATTCAAATTAATAATAATAATTAAATTATTAACTTCTTCTTTACTAAAATACAATTTTGGCTCTTATTATACAAAGCTGACCTCTTTTTAATTATTACTTTAATTTTAATAGTTTTTTACAATTTAATAATTAATATTTTTATTAATTTTTAATTAGTAATTTCTAAATTCAATAATCTTAAACTTAACTTAACCTATTCTAATAAGTTATTTAAATTTAACTTGTAGCTCATTTAATATACTTTTTTAAATATTATTAAATCACACAAACTATAAATTATTTTTTACAAAATACAAACTTATTTAAATAATAATTTTAATATACAAATAGATTTTCTTATAAAACAATATCTATTATTACCACTTCTTTTATTTAATTATATAAAATTTTATAATTATCATATTTTTTAATATAAATAATATTATATAAATTCTCTACAAAATACTTCATTAAGCAAATATATAAAACTTACATTTTAGCTATATAGGATTATAAAAATATAATAGTGAGTAGTCATATTTCAATTGAGATATTGACTAAAAATCCACTTGGTTTTATTTTAATTATAATTAGAAACTTTTATATAATATTATTAATTTTTTATTCAACTAACTAACTAAAATCTTTTAAAAATAAAATTCTTTTTAATAAATTACCAATATATTAATTATTTTATACTATTTATCTAAACTAATATACAAATACTAACTGTTTTTATTACAACTTAGCTAACTTTTATTTCTACTAGCATATCTGCATTAAAGCACTCTTGCTTAATCAAATTATTCAAACTTCTATTAATTTAATTTTTTTATTAACTTATTTGATCTTGATATTTACCAAAAAGATAATTTAATTAATAAAATCTTTTATTACCTAGCTCTTAATTCTCTATACATTCTATTTAATACATTTTATCCCAATCTTATTTTCAAAAATCTTATCTCAAAGTTACTTATATCAATAATTCAAAACTCTAATATACTATATAAAACTGATTTCCAAGTTATTATTAATATTTTTCTTAATATTTATGAACAATTACATGAATGATTATGAATAACATATTGCATATACTTCTCTAATTAAAAAAAACAACAAAATAGTTATTAATTCTAACCAATTAACAAATTTTTAACTTTATTTAACCTAGTTACTAGGCATGCATGTTTTTAAAAAACTATATTTAACTCATGTCTTTATAAACTTTTAGAGTAATTATATATTTATTCTAATACTTGTTGTTCTATTAGTTAAGCAATTTGCAAAGTTAATATTTAATCTATTTTATAAATCAAATATAGTATATTATTAAATTATATACTAAATATCCAAATTTAGATAAGCTTTGACTACTTTAGTAGATTTAGATCACAAATAAATTAGTTTAAGCTTTTATTTTTATATGTAATTTTCAATTTATTTGTTTTATATAAATAGTAGTAGTTGTATAGTTAGCAATTTAATGATTAGCTCTAATTGTAAGTATTAATTTCAGTTATAGTATATATATATATAACTATTTTAAATTACTAATAAAAATATAGACAAGACCTTATCTAATATCAAAAAATAATAAAAAAGATATACAAACAAATATATCTATAACTAAATTATTAAAACAAATAGTTACTAATATATATTTAAAAAATAAAATAAATTATATATAAATATATATCAAATAGATAAACTAAAGTATACAAAAAAAATTTTATATACTCCTTCTGCTGATTTCTAATTTCTAAATAAAACTAAAACAAATATATGAAGAAAACACAAAATTGGACTAACAAACTTTATTTTAGTTTCTAGAAAAAAAAACTCAACAACAAAATATAATTACTTTATCTTAACTACAATATAAATAAAGTTTTGTTAAACAAAAACTTTGTTAATTTTAAATTTTTTTAAATAAAATTTTTGTAAAATTTAAAAATAGTACTAGATCCTAAAAAAAACTAAATTGGAACATGTGACTAGCTATTAAATAAACAAAATTAAAACAATATAACACATTATTTTTTTTTAAATATTAAGATGAATATTTGTAGTTCAGGAATTATTGATAGTATATTTGGCTAATAGTTATATTACAACTACAAAAAGCAATTATAAAATAAGTATACAACTAGTCACTCATACAACTTTAGTTATTATCTAATTTAAGTAGTCTATCTGAAGATTCTATACTAGCTGCCATATCTGAAATCTGCTTGTAGATTCTTTATTTAACTACTCTAGTTTCTGTATCCATTTACTTACTTCTGTCTACTAATGACTTCAGCCAATGTTAGTGAAAATATGTCATAGTTACTAAGTCTTTAAAGCAGTTTTTTGAAACTTTTGACCTTTTACTAAACTTTTCAAAATCTTTTGTATCTTATTCTTACAGTTAACCTAATATCACTATAACTGAGATCAACACTGGCAATTAAAATATATTATTAAACTTTTATGCTCTTGTAGAGTTCACCCTAAACCTAATACTAACTTCATAACATATTTTTACTATTTTGGTATTCAATTTAAGTTCCACCAAGCTACTATTTCAAATAGCTCAAAAAGGTAAATTATAACTATATTTCTAGTTTATATATTTGTCAGTATTTATTCTTTTTCTCTGAAATTTAGAAATTTCAGTAACCTGGTTGGTTCATTTGGTTTCTTCTCAAAGACTAGCATATTTGACCAGTTTTACAAGATTTAGCTTCATTTTATAAGTCTAGTCTTTATAGTAGCAATGTTAAAAGTTCAGATTACTTTACTACTTGGGTCTTTCAAATAGACTTTCATCTTTCTATCTGGTTCTTGCAATTTATATGGCCTAAGAACTTATCTTGGATTCACACCACTCAGTACTGGTTTGTGTTTCTTTGTACAATGTTGTACAAATGCCTATACCTTTCAGTCATATTAGTATAATATGAGTTACAGATATCTAATTCAAATCAATTATAGAAGACAGTTAACCTTAATACAAAATGAATTGCAAATTTTCACTATTACTAGGATTTGAACTTTAGATCTGCCACTTGGAAATTGACAATCTATGCACTTCACTAGGTTGCTACACCTCAACATAATACATTATACTTAATAATAACAACTAAACTATTAGAAAATAATAAATAATTATAGCATATATATTAAGTAGATAGACAAATAACAGAATAATCTAAAAATAGAAGTACAAACAAGATTAGAATTATCATACAATATAAATCTAATTTAATATATTAAAAGTTCAATAATAAAAATAAAAGCTATATAGATAGTAAGATACTAGATTTAATTCTATTAAAATATATAAAAAACTTAAATAATTTAGAATACATAGCAAAAATCCTGGTAATTTATAATTCAAAAAACATTACAACAAATAATTTACTTTTTTAAAGCCAAATTTTTAAAGTTCTTAAAATAGCAAAAATATGTACAGTGTTATATAGTTTATAAAAGAATATATAAAACAACTACTAGCAATTGACATAAATCTAGATTTCTTTGATTATTAAATAAAATATAAATAAAAAAGAAACAACTAAAGAAGAAAAAAAATAGAAAAAATAAAAAGCTAAAAGAAATAAAAAAAATAAATATAATGTTATCTACTGTAATGATTAGAAACTGATCAATGATGCATTAAACCTAAAAGAGATCGATTGCATAATTGTTTAGCAAACATACGTAGCATAGTTAGTAGATTTAGCAGAAACCATATATATAGTAGATTTAGAATAACTAGCATATTTAGAGTAACTAGCATATTTAGAATAACTAACATATTT